GTCAACTCTACTTTGAGGAGCAGCTCTTCCCCAGTTGCATTTTGAGTGCCTTCCCACGTAAGGGGTTCATTTTCCGGCACTATATCTGACATTGTTTCTCTGCTATTCATAAGGTTTTCAGTGACTAAAGATTCAGAAGTAGTTCATCATTCTTTCTTCCTAGTCTTTCTTTGTCTGGAAGCTCATCTGAAACCTGGCTACCATGGGTGACTCTGCTGGTATTTAAAATACCAGTGGCATAGCTTTCAGAATTACAGCAACTCACAAGCCACCACAGTACAACAAGATGTATTTGTTGTAACAAACTGACAGATGAGTGGTGGCCATTTGGTTTTAACTGGAAACTGTCACTTTACGTTTCGAGATTTGTATGCATGTGTAGTAGAAACCTCCAGGGGTGGAGGTGGGGTGTCCATTCACTCAGGCATCATCTCTAGTCACCAGAATGGAGGTGTGCAGACAGTGAGAGATCAATGAACAGATACCAAAAAAAGAATGTCCAACCTGTATCTCCGCAGTTCTGTCAGGCATCCGTTGCTGTTCTGTTCCTTCCCCCACTTGGTCTCTCCTAAGATGCCGTCTCCGGGAATAGCTGAGCGTCTTGAATTAGAAAGCAACGGATTTCTTGATTCTGCTACAAATTCCCCTAGCTGTAAACCTTCCTATCTTCTAAATATTCCTTTATATATGGTTCAGAGGTCTAGCACCAATATTCTGTGTTGTTGGTGATGGAGCTCCTCACTGCACGTCTATCTGATCCGTGATAATGTATGCTAAATGTAGCCATCATCACAGTTTCAATAAACAGAAATTATTATGATGTTTATTCATATATAAATAATATAATGAATTTATTATTTTTTGAATTCCTGTACTAACACTAGTATTTTAGCAGTAATGGAGGCAAGTTGATATTACAATAAGATATTTGGGCTTTTTTAATAGAAGATCATAGTAAAAGTAATCTGATTTGTCCCTACATAAAGACAGAAGTCAAATGAACTTCTAAAAGCTGAGAAAGAACACAATAATAGAACTAAGTTTAGAGTGAATAAGAGATTCCTGAGCCTATGTTACATGGCATTGGACCACCCAACTCTCTGTATTTCCCAGTTTGTTTTTTATACATTAAGGCTATGAAATTAATTTGAGTTCCTAATTAAGTCTAGACAACTATATTTTAACTTATAATGTGCATTTAAGCTGTGCTTGTCTTCTGTCCACTGTTTATAATGGTTTAACTCAGATAACAAGATAAAACTGAGCAATTTTGAACTACTGTTAAAATCAGTTGCTCTTGACTTTATTCTCTTCCCAGTTTTCATTAGTATCCTATTATGATGCCAGGATTAGAGAGCAATTAAGCTAACACCATCCACTGAGACCCCTGATCCCTGTGTTACAGTGTGAGCGATGAGTTCTGGAAAAGCAAACATACTTAGGCCATATTGTAATTGTACTTCACGCATATATTTAATGGTAGTACCAAAAATTAACTCCAGTGAGTATGGGAATATATATAAGAACAGAATCCAGTTTGAAGTGACTATTTGAAATGTAAGACATCCGATTTTAAGATATCATGTAAAATTGGAGCAATACTAAATTAACATACTTTGTATCTCTGGGTGAAACTTACTTTCATCTCCTGTTTCAAATTCAAACTTCTGACTGTAGCCACTGTATCCTGTTGCAGTCCTCACTCGGATATGAAATACGTACTTGGTGGCAGGCTTGAGACCTGTGATGATGACACTGGGGGCCTTGGACCTTGTGGAGGAATAGGTCAGCTGTTCATGCTCCTGAGGGACAAAAAATGAGGAGAAAGGAAATGAAGCCAAGTTATTCTACTTTTACCATAGAGATAATCCAAAATTAAGCTGAGGAATTATGCTCTGAATATCCAAAGCATGAAGCAGAAGAGGTAAAAGCATGATTTTCCATAATTTAGCATTTAGTTATTTATCATTATGATGCAAATGATATGGTTTTGATTTGGAAATTTATTAAGAAATATGATTAATCCTAGTAATCTGCACTGCTGGTCCAACTCTAAGGAATGATGGTGATGTGAAAGCACGTTTACATAGAATGGCAGCTGCATCTAGCGCAAAATGGGCACATTGGATCAGAACACACCAGTGGAGTGCAAGGAGCAAAGGTGCGAGAATTCAAGTACCCGCTACTCACTTCTACCCGCAGGTAGTGCCAAAATGCCGGCGCTATCCGTGGGTAGACCTGTGGGTAAAAGGAAAAATAAATTAATTGTTTTTTAAACTTTGAAATGAATTATCCTGAATCAATTGCTCTTTTCAGTAACTCAGCAATTCCCCAGTCTTAACAACTGAAATTGAGTAAATTTAAACACATAATGATGAAATCTTTCCCGAGGGGGAATTGACTCCTCTTCCCCAAACTACATTTTATTTTTAAAGATGCACAAGTCACATGATGATGGTGAGGTAGGTTTAAAAATAATCTGCCAATGAAGGAGCACTGAAGACAAAAAGGTAGCAAAGACTTACCACAGCAGAATCAGAGGCAGGACTGGAGGCTTGGTTCCCAGTCTCCTGAGTTAACTGTCAACAACCTCACCTCATTAACAGGAAATCAATTTGCAAGAAACTCTTAACTGATCCAGCAAGTTAGGGTTTTTAACTGGCTTTGTTGTCACCCAAGTCAGAACAAGATAGTTCATTTTACCTGTGTATATAGAAATTGTTGGCAATTTGCTAATGCTGGGGACAAGTTAAATGTAGTACTGTTTTTATACAGTATTGTTATTCAATACCTTTGTTATTTTAGTAAGGCTTGGGGGGGGGCAGTATTTGTATGAACAGCTCCTCTAAATTCAAACTAGGTCATCAGGTATTTTAATCAATACTCCACAATTCTCATTATAAATCTAAAGATAGAGCATCTCACTGATAGATGTGATTTTCAAGGTGACTAATTCAATCATGCATTTAATGCTTGAATTCTATGTATAACATTCCCAACCAGATATCATTTTGTCTTTGCCTAGAAATCTCTGTTGTTCAGAAAACCTTCCAGAAAAACAAATGAAGTTATAAAAATCTACACATGCTCATATGCAGAACGTGCATTTATTTGGTGGTGATGCTTTAAGATTTAGAACTATGAAAATCTTTCCCCTTAAGCCACTTTTGCAAAAAAGTACTTATCTTAAGGTTCATTTTTAAACTTTATGGACTTATTTGTCAGAACTTTATATGCTATAAGGTTATTCTGTGTCTAGCTAAGGAATTGAATTTTCCATCTGTATCCCAAATAATAAAACTGTTTATTAAACAAAGTACAAAGGAAAAAAAATGAGTTAACAGCAGCAATATTTCAAACAAAAAAGACAAAACAGACAAATCACAATTTATATTTATCTCTAGAATAAAAGATAAATATATATATAACTACAGCATAAAATTTAAGGAAATAAAAATAAAGTTTATCAAATCATTGCTGACAATAATTATCTGCGAAGGATTGAAAAGAGGTTGTGGGTGGTTCGGTGGTAGAATTCTCTCCTCCCATGCAGGAGAACCATAAAATTGATGACCAGTGGACTTCACTTTAAGCCACCACATATCTATCATTGGTAGCTTGTGTGTTGCTATGATGCTGAGCAAGTTTCAATGGAACTTCCAGACTAAGACAGATTAGCAAGAAAGGTCTAGCAATTTACTTATGACATTCAACACTAAAAACTATATGGAACACAACAGACCAGTCTGCAACTGATCTGGGAATGGTGCAGAATTAGGTAGCATTTCATTCTAATGTGCATGAGGTCTCTAGTGATCAGGGTCTGACTTTCTGAAAGCAGCTAACCATAACAACAAGGCTTGAAAGCAGGAGCTTGTCAATATTAAGGTCTTAATGATTAGGGAGCCTTAGAATTCATGTTGTAGAAAACAGATGTATCTATGGATGATTAGAAAAGACAGTATTCTTTCTGATAGAAACTTTATAGAACATTTGAATTTTTCAGTTTCATATTCAAGAGGTAATTTTCTACCTTTCACAGAGTTCTCTGCAATGTAAGAGTTATGGTGTATTTGAGTGCTATTTCACAATGTGAAATTATGACTGCTGGGAGACTTTTAAAGAAATTTAAAAATAAATTCAGTCTTATCCCTAAAGAGAAAAGACATAGAACCAAAAGTTTACTCTTAAAATTGCCCCATGATAATTACACATTATGTCTTTGTTCATTTACCTAAACCTAACTAAATACTAATTTCCTTCCCATTCAGTAAAGTTAGACTTGTATTATTTGCAAAAGTATACTTGTAGTGTTTCCCTTGCCTAAAACACTCACATAGTAAGTATGCATAGCTGACCACTAAGCCTGATTCATGGATTGCCAACTGCCTTGATTTACATTTTGTCATCTGAGAACATGCCAAGAAAGGGGACTTACCAAAGAAGAAACATATATTGCAGACCTTTCTTCTCTGCTAGTATTTTTAAGCTTTTGGGAAACCAAGTTAATTCTTTTCCATGAAAAACATAGAGCACTATTGTCCTGGAACTTTTGCTAATTGCCTTTCTGTAGACACACCCATGCTAAGTCAGAATAGCAGTCACGAGGTAGAGATAGTGCTTGACCACAGAGCACCACAAAGGCAACTAGATCTCTATATTAGACCAGATTGCTTTCTTGCATAGAGTTTGTATGCAAGAGTTTTTCTGGGGTTTATACTTATGAATGAAATTGCTAGTTATAGGATATGCATATCTTCAGTTGTGTCAGGCAATTATATTGTCCATAAAATTCTGTAAATACATTTTATCATGTTTTTTGTCTCTGTAGCAATATATCTCTTCTAATTGCTAATATTGTTTAATTTTGTATTTTCTCATTTAATTTTAATCAACTTTTTCAGAGCTTTGACCCAGGGTTTGGCTTTACTGGTGAATTGTTTATGTTTATTTGTTTTCAATTATACTTAAAATCTGTATATATATGTTGTAATTGTTGTTAAGTGCTGTCAAGTAAGATCTGACTCACTGACCCTGTATAGGGTTTTCAAGACTTTTAAATCTGTGCTGGAGCAGAAAACCTCATCTTTCTCCCACAGAGCGGATGGTAGGCTTGAACTGCCAACTTTACTGTGCTGTGGGATAATGCACTGTATCATAAGGTTAGGGGTTCAAATTCACCAGCCATGCCTCAGAAACCCTATACAGGATCGCTGTGAGTCAGAAAACAACTCAAAGACACTTAAACAGCGACATGTATGTTGTTGTATTTCTGTGTTGTTTTATATGTATGTTGTTGTTACAGGCCGTCAAGTGAGTTCTGATTCATAGTGACCCTATGCACAACAGCATGAAACACTGCCTTATCCTGTGTGATCCTCATGATCATAGTTATGCTTGAATCCATTGCTGCTGCCACTGTATCTATGTCACTGTATCTATACATCTCATTGGGCATCTTCCCCTTTTTTGCTGACCTCCACTTTACCAAACTTGATGTCCTTTTCCAGGGACTGGTGCCTCCTGAGAATATGTCCAAAGTCTGAGAGGTGAAGTCTTGCTAACCTGGCTATTGAGGTGCATTCTAGCTGTACTTCTTTCAATATAGATTTGTTTGTTCTTCAGGTAATTCATGGAACTTTTAATATTTTTTTCTCCAACATCATAACTCAAATGCAATAATTCTTCTACAGTCTTTTTTATTCACTGTTAAACTTACACATGCATGTAAGGCTATTGAAAAAGACCATGACTTGCATCATCTTTGCTCTCAAAGGTCTTGTGTTACAGATTTGACTGAAGCAGTATGTTGTTTGATTTCTTGACTGCTGCTTCCATGAACGGTGATAGTAGATCTAAGCAAAACAAAGTATTTGACAACTTCAATCTTTTTTCCTTTTATCATGTTGATGCTATTTATTGGTCTAGTGGCAAAGATTTTTGTTTTGTTTTTTTTTTACATTGAGTTGCAAATAATGAAAGTTTTGGTCTTTGATCTTCATCAATTAAGTATTTTAAGTCCTCTTCACTTTCAGCAAACAAAGTTATATCATTTGCATGCCAGAGATTGTTACTTAGTCTTCCTCCAATCCTGATGCCACATTCTTCTTTATATAATCCAGCTGCTTGAATTATTTGGTAAGCATACAGAATGAATAAGTATGATGAAAGACTGCAACCCTGGTGCACAATTTTCCTAAATTTAAATGATTCAGTGTCCCCTTTTTTTGTTTGAACAACTGCCTCTTTGGTCTATGTACAGGTTCTTCATGAGCACAGTGAAGTGTTCTGAAATACCCATTCTTCACAACCTTATCCATAGCTTGTCATGGTCTACACGGTTCAAAGCTCTTGCATTGTCAATGAAACACAGGTGAACAGCTTTTTGATATATTTGCTTTCAGCCAAGATCAATCTGACATCACTCATTATATCCCTGTTCCACATCCTCATCTACATCCATCTTGAACCTCTGACAGTTCCCTGTGAATATACTGTTGCAGTCATTTTTAAATTATGTTTAGCAAAATTTTACTTGGGTTTGATATTGTCCATAGATTTCTACATTCCATTGGGTTCTCTTTTTTTGGAATGGGCACAAATACGGATCTCTTCCAGTCAGTTGGACAGGTAGCTATCTTCCAAGTTTCTTGGCATAGATGAGTTAGTGCCTCCAGTGCTGCATTGGTTTTTTGAATGATTTCAATGTGTGCATCAGTTCCTGGAACCTTGTTCTTTGCCAATGCCTTTATTGCAGCTTCAACTTCTTCCTTCAGAACCATTGGCTCTTCTTGGTCATGTG